ATAACAGCCGACGCCCTGCTCGCCGGCCAGGCCGCCGTCGCCGACGACGTCCTGTCGCGCGTCGAGCGCCGCATCAAGAAGCGCGTCGTCGCCCCGGCAGACGACGAGCTCGACCGCGCAAAGGAGGTCTCCGCCCGCCTGGCCGTGCGCAAGAAAATCGTCCTGGACGCACAGCGCTACCGCGCCCGCGCAGCAGACGGCCCGGAGGGAGCCGAGCCGGAGCGCAAGGCTAGGGACAAGATGGCAGAGCTCAGATTCGCCACCGAGGAGCTCCTCGTCCTCATGCAGCCCGCACTCCCCAGGCGTGCCGCCCTGCTTGAGCGCTCCGTCGCGGAGACTATCGAGTTTCAGCGCAGGTTTTATATAGATTCCAGCAGGATCATGGATCGCTGTGTCGAAGCTGTAGGCCAGGATACCCTCGCAGCTATTCGCGCATCCGGGGAAGAGCCAATCCCGAGGGTTGAAGATGACCCCCTGCTTACGGGGAGGCTCAGTCGGAACGGCTTCAGAACCCTCGATGACGATTTTGGTAGGGCTGCTAGACCGATGCGCCATGCGAGCCAGCCCGCGCACCAGCATGTCGCGGACGATGACTTTATGGATCTTCCGAGGCAACCGAGGCAGAGTGCCCCGCAGCAGCCGCCTCAATCTTCCGGCCATCGGTCGAGGACTACGAACGGTGTCAAATCGCATTCGTTGTGGGATGAAGACGATGACGATGATGATGACGACGACGACGAGGACCCTATTTTTCACACACCGCATAATCCCTTTGATGACGATGACCACATCACCGCACCGCCGCCCGCCCCAAGACCAACGTCTCGGAAGGAGGAACCCTCTATTTCAAGCACTGCAGCCTATGGCTCGAACGCCTCGAAGAGCGCCTATCCGTCAGTCGGTATTGGCAAGCGTGAGTCCATAGGTGGATACCCTTCGTCGGGTGTCGGGTCGAGGGAAGCCACAGCCGCCTATCCGACCGGCGGTTCGCGCCAGCGCGAGAGCATGTACCCTACGGGGAAGACGGGTCGTAGCCGGCCGCCGACAGCTGCCCCAGCAGGCGCCTCCACAGGTCGAACTGCCACCGTGTCAAGCAAGCCACCACGACGCAACCGAAGCGACACTGAGGCCGACCTGTTGAACTTCGATGAACCGGAGACCACCAAGCGTCCCGCCCGGCCAAAGAAATCGTCTGTCCCTCCCTCTGCAGCAGCAACGGAGGACTTGTTGGACCTTGGCTCGAGCAAGCCGCCGATGCCGCGCAGCGCATCGAGCAACGCGATGGAAGGTGATTTGCTTGGCGATTTTGCGAGTATGTCGTCGACTAGGCCGGCGAAGAGCCGCTCAACGAACGCCTCCCGGTCGCGCCCCGCTGCTCCTACAATGTCAGCCTCTTCATCTGATCCTACTATGGCTGGCTTATCAGCCGGGCGGTCATCTGCGCCCACCGCGCCATCGGCATCGGGACAAAACCTCGAGCGAGAGCAACTCCGGAGGAAGCATGAAGCTGAAATCAAAGCCCGCGCAGACGAAAAGCTTGCCGTCGTACGCCAGCGGGAGAGGGCTGGAGAAAAAGAACGGGAGCAGAAAGACAACGCCCGTGGCATGGCAGAAGCCAAGGTGAACCAGTGGATGGGCAACGGCGCCCGTCGCGGCAACCTTCGCGCGTTGCTAGCGTCACTGGACACGGTGCTGTATCCAGGCGCGACGTGGACGGCTGTGAATATGACGATACTAAAGGCAAACCCAAAAGTCAAAATCAACTACCACAAAGCGATTTTACAAGTGCACCCTGACAAGATTGGATCGAAGAACCTTCCACCAGACCAGCAGGTACTCGCGGAGCTTATATTCGACGAACTAAAAAATGCGTACGAGGTCTGGACGGCCGAACAAGAAGGACGGCCTCCTCCAGCGGGCTCGGTAGGACCGAAGCGAGGTCCCGGGGCAGGCAACAGTGGGCCTGGTTTTGGGAACATGGGCGGAATGGGAAGATCTGGAATGTACAATAACATGGGAAGTATGGGGAGGGGAGGTATGGGGATGGGAATGGGCGGGATGGGCGGGATGGGAGGTATGGGAAATATGGGCCGAGGCATGGCAAGAGGTGGCATGCGAGGCATGGGCGGAATGGGAAATATGGGACGAGGCATGGCGAGAGGTAGCATGGGAGGAATGGGGGGGATGTACGGCGGAACGGGAAGGCGGGGCACAGGAATGGGGAACATGCCTCAAGGGTTTGGTACCGCTGGCCACAGTCAACAGCGTAGATGATTTGTAAATGAAAGATGTTACAGAACTGACCCTTCACAGTCGTGCTTAACAACGTTCGAAAGTAGTCTACACCGTCTGAGACGGTCTGATGTAGTACAGTATGGGGACTAGCTGTTCCCGCGATACGACAATTCGCCCGCCACCTCATACGCGGTTCGCTCGAAGGAACTTTCGCAAAACTTTGCTCATAGCAGTGAAGTAGGCATCCTCCTAACAAATCGTAAATAGTAAAACAATTGTTAGTACGCTGTGTGTGCAATGGGATGATAAAAAACGGGGAGCGGACTGTGTCCGAATCAACTTACCATGTGATGTTTTACGGAGCGCCCGCTGATCAATTCGTTCCATAACTTCTGCTCAAAATTGATGAGGTCTTGCAGGTTTTTGTACTTTTCCCGGAAAGGGTCATCAATGGAGCTCATATTCGCCATGATGACGGATTTGTTGTTGTACCCTTCAATCCAGTAGTCCCCGTCATCACTGATGAGGACAGTCCGACCAGCATGTTGGTAGCGATTCACTGGGGCTTTCGTAGAAATTGACCTTGGCATTCGTGCAACCAAGTCAGTGTCGTTTACAATGCGGAATGAGTTTGGCACAAGTTCGTTGTACATCCTAGCAAAGTGTACATTTCCCACCTTTGGAGCTCCAAACGTCATACATGATACATCGCAGTTACACATCAACTGGCGTGCCTGAAGATCTGCTGACGCAATAATCGCAAGCGCTCCGCCAAGGGAGTGCCCAGTAAAGTGAAACGAGTAACCATCACAAAAGTCCGAGCTCACCATCTTGAGACCGCGTATCAATGCATCCCGAATACTTAGATATGCCCGGAGGAAACCATAATGTATTGCGGATGCGTCTGCTGGAATCGATGTTTCTTGAGAGGGCAGCACTCCGGGAATAAAGTCCGCCAAACCGACTGTTCGGTCCTTATCCACATTGAGATCTACTTTCACACCTGGAACCCAAAGTTGCAAAAACATTTGGGCATCAGTGAAGAAGTCCTTCCAGCTTACCTGTTCTGTCCCGCGGAATGATATGACAACGTCTTTGTTGGCTGTATCGTGGAAGAGCCACACTTCTGTATCGGTCGCCAATGATTCGATGAATAGTGTACTAGGCAAGTCTTCTGTTAAGGTGGCTGTTCTCTGGATGTCCAAAGTGGTGTCGTCATCGTCGACAAGATTTCTAACGGCTCCTGCCAGCCTGCGCCAGTCTCCAGGGTCCGGTAGCTGTCCAGGTGAGAGCTTTGCCTTGAGAACTGATGAAATTGACAAATCTTCTGTAGTTGAAGTCAACTTTTGAAACGACGTTGCCTCTGCGTCTGCAAGCAATGATGACACCTCTTTCATTTTATCGCCTTCTGGACCATTCAGAAAAGGTATAAACGACAAACGCAGCGTGATTGACGCTGACCCCACAGATTTCGGATCAATTTCCTCGGGGTCCTTCCCCACACTTTGAAACGGGAACGGAAGCCTCATCTCTTTGGGAAGTAAGGAAAAATGAAAGAAATCCCTGTCCTTCCCTTCTTTCAAAACTTTCTGGAATTTCAGCGTGCACTCACCCTCATCCACGTACCTGCCGCTCTCCAGGCCCTGTCGCACAAGGTCAGCAAGCGAGAATAAGGAAATGTCACTCGGTGGACTTCCCTCGACGTATGCCTTCTCATTTGGAAACACGTTTATGACCAACTCATCATCACTTGCACCCCCGATGGAACGGAACCGAGACGAAGGCGGGTCCCTCTGACACAGCATTGCGCAATGCTTCTTCTTGAAAAGGTCTAGCACCAGCACGCCGTTCATCTCAACCACCACGTACGCCTCCTCCAATCCCTCCGACGCTACAACCTGCACCATTACAGCCCCCTTCGCCCTCTGCGCAATAATCTCAGTGCTCGGATACACAAAGTCCGTGTACACCAGCTGCCGATCTAAGCCTGAAAGCTCAGACCCATCAACTGGAGCCGCGAAAGTCTCGCGATAAGACGACGAAGGCGGCTCCAAGTACGCGCGGAACGAGTATGCCGCAAGCGTGAGCGCGTGCACAGGATCATACGGGTGACGCGGGAGGTGGGTATCGTCTAGCGTGTCGACGGTATCGAACGGCTCAACGTTGAGCGCGTTGAGCGTGGCCAACATGGCGTTGGTGGACAGCTGCGACGCGACGTCCGAACCGCGCTGCAGCATGCCCTGCAGCGCAATGGTGGATAGGTTCGCCGAGGCCGACGACAGGTTGGAGGAGATCCAGGATACGGTTTGGTCCAGCACCTCCTCTTTGGTGGCCGTGGGCGACAGGTGAGACGAGAGCCACGAGACGAGCTGGTTTTCTACTTCGTCTGTTGTCGTGGCGGGGACAAGTTCCTCGCTGCGTGGTTCTGCGCCTTCTGCGAGGTCGGGGTCGTTAACCGGTGCGCTCGCAGGGATGTTGCCTGGGAGCAACTCGGCAATCCATGACAGAGGTGAAGTTGACATTCCATCAGAATCAACTCGCTGTATCGCAGTTTCCTCTTCTGAGACATGGACAAGGTCGGATTCGTCTACACTCTCTTTGGCCGCCTCTCCCTCTTTCCTCCTTTTTGCAACAGCTTCAAGAATCCACGCAACAGCCGCATTAAGCCCGTCCTCCAGCCCGTCCCCCAGCCCGTCCTCCTCCTTCTCCCGCCCCTTCTCCCGCTCTTCTACTACCTCCCTCGCGTCGTTGCGCTTCTCTTCCTCTTCTCCCTCTGCCACGGCCCCTTTCCCCAAGCCCCTCTTCGCAAGCGCCTCAAGGATCCAAGCGAAGCCCTCCCTGACGGCAACATTGCGCCCCGCCGCGTCAATAACCTCGCCGCCTTCCCGCTGCACGGTTGCCAGCAGCGCGGCAATTGTGGGGCTTTCGTCTCCTCCGTTCCGGTCTTCTGCATCCTCCGACGGCGTGGGGGCTGTGTTGGGCATGGAAGACTTAGGCGCGGAAGACTTAGGCGCGGAAGACTTAAGCGCGGCCTGTAGCCACGGGAGAAGAGGGGCGGGGTCGTCCGGTGGACGATCAGCGCATGCGAATAGGCGGCGGGGGCGGCGGAGGGCCGGCCGGCGGTGGCGGGTGGCGCGCGTGGAGGAGTGGTGAAACTGCTGGGCAGGGAGGATGAATAGGGATTGCATTGCCAGTGAGGAATGCGGGGAGTAGTGTGGCAGTGATTTGGTCCCTGGGCGCGGGGGAGATAATACACATGGGAGGATGGGATGGGATGCGCACGGCAGAGATTGCGAAAGGATGCTTCAGGTGCGAGGGGGACGGGAACGGACGAGAACGGACGAGAACGGAAGAGAAAGGACATAACCAATCACAGGGCGGCTGGGCGGTTGCTGGTCGATGGTGGCCCGGTCAGAGGGACGGTGTTCGTAGTATGCAAGGTGGAGGGAGATGATTGGATGAGTCATTGCTTTGATCCGATGCTCGCAGCTTTATTCTGCCTTGTGACTTTTTTATTCAATAAGACAACCTTAGTTGTCCGTAAAGTCACGAAAACGCGTGTTTTGGTGCCGTGTTTGCTCGGATTTATACGGATCTAAACGCGTCTGGTAAAACTCAGAGCATACCGAAAACTGGGGGCATGTGAGTTTTCCACGTAAAAAGTTTCACAACCTGGACGACGGAACTTACTTTCAAATGTCGACGGGGCAAAGTCGCCTGTGCCTGTGCCATTCCTTCATCCGTCTCCAGTAACATCGTTTTCAACATTTGCATTTGCAGAGATGCTCAACTTGACAAAGTCCGATAACAACTGCGCCTTCATCTTATTTGTTCTGGACTGCATGCTGTTAGTCGACACAAACACAAAAACCAACTCAAAACAAAGCAAAAGAAGAGAATCCACAACCCTTCAACCCCTGACCAACTTGTATCACCATCTCAACTGCGAAGTTGAGATGGTGATACAAGTTGGGTGATTTGCTGGGAAATAAAAGGAAACAGGCCTACCGTAAGCTCATCAGACTTGTATATCTCCCCGTATACCTTACTTAGCTCGCTGACAAAACGAATGTCCGCTGCCACTGGTCCATCTCCATGCCATGTGCATGTCTATCATAGATGATAGATGAGAATCGAGGCGTACGCCTAGATTCACATTCAAGTAATAGCTGATTTTCATGCAATCTTCCAGAAGCGCAGGTGATGCAAGGTTTGAAACAATCGCGTATGCACCCGAAAACATGTAGGGGTTGTCGCCTCGATTCGAGTGCAGACACGCGCCGAGTGCAGATATGAGCACCGAGGCTTGGCGTTGGAAAGGAAGGATCTCACAGCCAACCACTGTACGAAATCACGATGTGCATGTGCCGGAGAGGCATCTCGAAGACACGAATCTAATGATAATGTAATGATGATATGATAGTGATAAGAGAGCAATGGTAGCGGGCCACACTGTATGCCATAGATTACGTGTGAGGGAAAAAATGAGAGATTTCTAATTGCAATTTTTGCAATTGCCCTCTGATCAAGAAAGCGATCCAAACGCAACTCGCTCGAAACCCGACACTGAATCGTAAATGCCACAGCCAATACGCGTACCACACGTGAAAAGGATGGGACGCTTCGCAGTCACTGCACAAGTCTCCAAATTTGCACTTGCTTGGCACATCGCCCAGATGTACAATAGAAACACCGACGTGTCTATTGTTCTCCCATTCCTCCCGCCCCCCCTGCCCCCACACCCCTCCCACGAGGTAGCAGGGCCTTCTGAGAGCGGACAGCATTCCGACTCGTCACCACCCGAACCCCTGGTTACATTCATGAAAGGCATAACGAACGACGCGTTGGGTGCGCTTACGAATGCCCAGAAAGGTTTCATCTCCTCAATTCGGTTCCTAGAAACAACCCCGGAGCTAACTGGGACCCAACTAAAGCGCACCATCGCTGACATTTTCCCGCCGGCTTCGCTTTTCCAACAAGAAATATGCGACCTCCTCTGCTGTTCATATTGAGTTGCGAAACTTCTAGGATAGTAGAGGACGGAATTTGGAGCAACACTCATCTCACCGTGTTGTAATG